ATATTTATATAATATATATAAAATATACGTATAAATATAAATGTAAATATATGAATATATATATATATACTAGCAGTAGAGCCCGGCGTTGCCCGGGGATATAACAGTAAGAGATAGATCAAGTATCCACCATCATAAAGACTGAAAAATAAAATTGACAAAGATTATTGTTTAAGGTTGACGGACACGCATGTCTGAATTAGTTGTTTTTTTTTTTTTTAGGAATTGGTCAAACCCAAACTCAAACAAAAACATTGTTTTCAATCGTTATGAGTCTCTACCGATTGAATAGAATTTTGTTATAAACAATTGTCTTGTAAATAAAATTTTTAAAGCATTCTGAATATAAAAATAAAGAAAAAAGTGTGCAAGAGAATAAGAAACACTACATGCCAAAAAAAAATCAGGCATTGAAATCGGTTGAAAAATGTAGGTAGCCTTTCTGTAATCTTTTAGTTTTACAATTTATGATTTTTACTTATTGAATACAGTAAAAAATTGCATATTTTGCTTGTGGTGATTCATAATTAGAATTCTGATTTGAATATATTTTCCACTCGTTGTTTCTAATACAAAAAAAATATTAACTTTATTTGGGTTTATTAATTATGATCTAACAAATCTTATTCATTTAGTAGCCTTTCTGTAATAATAATCTTTTTACAATTTATGATTTTTACTTATTGAATACAGTAAAAAAATTGACACCATGTGTATTTAAAGTAGTTTCCGGTTATTATTTTTAGTTAGGACTTGTGTATGTTTAGATTTCATTATCTTTCCCTAAAGATAAAGAATTTATCCGATGTTTGTATTCGTACAATCAGTATAGATCGTTAGATTATTGTTTAAGGTTGACGGACACGCATGTCTTAATTAGTTTTTTTTTTTTTTTTTACGAATTGGTCAAACCCAAACTCAAACAAAAACATTGTTTTCAATCGTTATGACTGAGTCTACTGATTGAATAGAATTTTATTATAAATAATTGTCTTGTAAATGGAATTTTTAAAGCATTCTGAATATTAAAAATAAAGGAAAAAGTGTGCAAGAGAATAAGAAACACTAGCTGCCAAAAAAAAAAAAAGTGAAGTTTTGTTTTATCGGCTGAAAAATATAGGAAATCCACTCCCATATTTAAAGGAACACACACACACACACACACACACACACACACACACACACACACACACACACACACACACACACACACACACAACCCGATGTGAGTTGTTCCCCTTCCATTTTCACGATGTCTCTTAATCGTGTTTTCAAATTGATTTTGTGCAAAAACAATTATATTTTTCCCATTTTTGGCGCTGTTAGAACCACCACAAGGTAATTTTATGTAGTCCTGTGAAGTTTTGTTGAAATCGGTTGAAAAATGTAGGAAATCCGATCCAATATATAAAACGTTACACACACACACACACACACACACACACACACACACACACACACTGCGTTTTATAATAAGTAAGATAAATATAAATTTATAAACATATATAAATTATACGTATATATATATATATATATATATATATATATATATATATATATATATATATATATATATATAAAAATTAACTGATTTAAAATATGGTTTCTTCACCACACAGTAATAACTATGTTTCAAAAACCGAAGCTAAAAACTTCAAATTTAATTAATTAAATTAAAAGCATTAGACCTGTTTCATCTTCAATTTTGGAATAACTTATTTTTCAATTTACTGAGTTTTAAACGCACATATAAATTCACATTTTCCTGTTTCCAAAGATACAGAAAAATCCAATCATTTAGACAGGGGCGTGTTCATTTTTATTAACTGTTGTTGTATCAATTATGAGTTACGTTCGAAAAAGAGGTTAAGTTTAGGGAGGATAGGGGTGCATTTTTCAACGAATTTTGACATCCGTTAAACGCATGTCGTCTGTTTTTTTTTTGTTTTTTTTAGTTTTATTATTAACGACAAAAAAGTCTTTCATCATTTTTTCGTTAAATTTGTACTTGTATACTTAAAGATTCTTTCTAAAAGGGTGTTTGAGTTAGAATACGTTATATTTAACTACAATTTTAAAATATTATTTTTACTCTTAATTACAAAATTCTTAAAATAAAAACAAAAAGTAAATAAAGATAAAAACAAAATAAAAAAGCGAACAAATATTAAATATACACCTATATACGCGTATGTATATGTGTTTTTTGTATATATATATATATACAAAAACAACTACAATCCCAACCTTACGTAATTGATACCTCAATATTTAAGATAACACCAAAGCAAACAAAAAAAACTACTATCTAGTAGACAGAAATTAAATATTAGATAAATATAAGCAAATATTTAATTTACTACCTAAACTCTATTTATAATACATATATGTGCGTGCGTGTGTGCGAGGTTTTTTTGTGTGTGCGTGTGTGAATGAGTGCGTGTGTGAATGAGTGCGTGTGTGAATGAGTGCGTGCGTGTGTGTGTGAGTGTTTATTATCATTTCTTTTATTAAAAACAATATATATGCAAAAAATGAAATACAATTTTCCTAACTCAAAAAATACTAGAACGCTCAAGAATTAACAAGGACAATGAATGTTTGAAAAACCGGATGTTGAAACCCCTACAACTGAAAGGAAAGATCAGAAGCAAAAAAAAAAAAACAAACAAAAAACACTTAAACAGTGAGTGGACAACAATAACGACGAAAAAGAGAAATAATTATGACATTCTACACATACGCACATATGCACACAGACGGACGCATGAGTGCGCCAGCACACACACAATGACCCCCCCCCCCAAAAAAAAAACCCTTGCATCAACGAAAAGTGCAATCGAGACATATAAACAGTCAATTGCTGTTATCTCTGACGAATGAACGGTGTGATTTCTGGAGGGACCATCTACATAACTCTGGAGTCGGAATGCTGAAGATAATAACATCCATTAGCTAAGTGACAAATTTTATATTTGTATTATTAATTCTCTCTCTCTCTCTCTCTCTCTCTCTCTCTCTATATATCTATATATATATATATATATATATATATATATATATATAGTGAAATCTAAAATTGTAAAATAACGAGTTTATTACAATACAACTTAATACAAACTAAAGAAAGCATCCATTATCCTACAAAAAACCTTTTTTAGTCTTTAGATCTACACTTTTTACATCTATCATTTTGCAAGATCATTTTCTATTGACAAAATAGCCAAAGAATTTAATCTGTCTTGAGACATGGATGACCGCAAGTATGTTTTTATAAGTCCTAGTTTTGGAAGATCCCAAACAAATTAAATGGCGGCACGCTGGCACCATCGGCTTTGATGGCGCCCCAGGCAACTACCTGGGAGTTACAAGTAACTTGAGCCGGCCCTATATATATATATATATATATATATATATATATATATATTAGGAAGAAATGTATTTTTGTCTCGTCGCTTTTGTGTGTGTGTATATATCTAAATACGTCTGCGTGTTTATGTATTATAATCTGATTGTGTATGTATTGTCTTTTTTGCAAGATTTCATCCTCCCTTGCCTCTGTTTATGCTTCAAATGTATCTATGTTGTCATGAAGTTCAGAGTAACATTTGATATTAACGTTTATTCCAACTTAATTTCAATAAAAACAAAATAAATAGAATAACATATGTATTTTTTTTCTTTTTCCTCAGTAATTTTATAATTTTAAACTTAATATAGATTGAATTTAAATTTCAAAATGGGTAATTTTTAATTTCAAATTTTATCATATAATTTAATATTTATTAGTTAGAATAAGTTCTATTTTAGTCTAACCCCCGTAGGCCAGCACTGCATGCTACCTGGGAGAATCGTGTATGGATTCCCCCCCCCTACATTAAAGCATTAAATAATTATTATAACTTTAGTTCGTTGTCAAGTTTTTTGAATTCTCATATACTTGTATTTTTATTGGTCATTGCAGCATATGTAACAGCGTTTCCCCTAGCGAGGGGTGTTTGATTGATTTGAACCTTTTAAAACCCTTTATTCTACATTCAACATCATCACTTGATAAGACACCAGAAGTGTTGAAAGAAAATGGCTATTTTTGTAGTGATTTTATAACATATTTATGTTATAATTTTCGAATAAATAATTATATATATATATATATATATATATATATATATATATATATATATATATATATATATATATAATTATTCGACTCTCTCGTCGTATTCGACGTATGAGGGTCAAGCAGCTCAGTTCCTAGGAACCGACTGCCAGATACCAGCACATATGATTTGAATTTGATTATAGTGGTGAAGGTTTTGTGCAGAACCATCAACACTTTTAGAAGGGTTGAATAAAGAGACCTGGTGCACTACGTGCCACAAGGTCTCCAAACGACCCTCCGCAGGTTTTGAATTCAGAGTTTTCCTTCTCCTAGACCAGTTGCCATCCAAGGCTATAGAGCCCAGTTTGTCCTGCTATTTATCAATCCAAGCCGTTATCCATTACTCCACCGTGCCTATAGGAAGTAAATATTTTTGTCAGCATTAGTAGTTAATAAAATGCATTTGTTTGAAAATTTAGTCACCTTAGTTTTCGGCCCCAATAAATAATAATCTTATTAAATGGTATAATAGTTTCCACTAGATGTTTGGAATCTTTTAACTATTGTATACTGAATAATAATGTCTGGATTAAGTTATGATTTTTTGTTTCTCTAAAAATAGTCACCTCACTGTTTTTAGACTTTTGTCATTTTATAAGAATGCTGTCAAAAGTTTTAAATAAATTGCTTGAAAGTAAAAACGATGACCTTTATCAAGATGGTAAATAAGATATTAGAAACAGCGATAAAAAATAAAATAAGCAACATGAAGTTTGTTTTAGTAAAAACCTGATGTGGTTTGCTTCGTTTGAAGGGCGAGCATTTATGTAAACATAATATAAGCAAGCACAGTAACCTCCCTTACCGTATCTAAGGTAAACACAATTTAGCTAACAACATGGCGGATCCGGTTATAATTCATATATACGGTCTTATTGATTCTAACACTTTCAAAAAGGCCCAGTTCTGCGCCAAGGTTAGTAAATTAAAAACTTTTTCACAATTGTTTATTGAAAATATAAATTAATGGCACACGTAATCCATTCCATTCTACCTATTCAATTTCTCGGAACACGTCCCATTATTCTTTCTTCATAGTTACATTGTTAAAGTTATGACTGAGTAACAGAAAGAAAGAAGAAGAAGAAATCGTACACAAGCGCATACATGTTTACAATTGTTAACTCCCCCCCTCTCTCTCTTTCTGATAGAATCAAATCCACTGGATGAAACGTTGCATTTCACGTCAGACAAAATGGCTATATGTTCATTTGAAAAATTGGTTCTGCACAATGTTTGTATTCGTGTTAGTTCTTTTGTGTACCCGTGAAAACTCGAGATCAGTAATAAATATACGTGCAGTAAAATTAATAATTAAAATCAGCAATATTATTGGTCCTGATCTGGCGGCTCGGCTCAGCTTCAGTTACTTACCCACCGCCCCAAGGTGTCTTTTCTACAAATACTTTCACAGTAATTGTTCGATTAAGCTCTTGGCTTTGGTACCTAAACTTTTTGAATTTAAGCTCAGTACTAGACAGGCGTCAAGTTGGCTAGATGAAACCGTAAATTATGCTAACAGTTTCTTTTCTCGCACTCCTCGCTTGTGGAACTTCCTTCCGGCTCCATGCTTTCCAGCCAACTTTTCTGTAAAAATTTAAATGCAATGTCAATCGCTATCTACTGCCATCCCGATTACTCTTTTCTCTTCCCGCATAATTATTACATACGTGCGAGGAAAACTGGTAAGAAAAAACAAAACTAGCAAAAAAAAAAAAAAAAAATCGATAGGTAGCCTGTAAAAATTTCAGAGATATGTAAAAAAAAAAAAATACTTAAGAAAAAGAATCAACATAAATGATAGGCTCCAGGAAAAAAGTTTATGAAATAAAATTAGAATTTTGCGGGCGTAGTAGAAAATGGATCAGTAGGTATAAAACAAAATGGATCAGTAGCTATAAATCACTGTTAGTCTGAATAAATTAAAAAAAAGCCTTTGTAATTCTTGAAAGCAGATTAGTACGAGCCTTTGCCATAGGTGGTGATCAATTAATTAAAAAAAAGCTCATTTACATAAATCTACACCAAGCAATCCCCTTTTTCCTAAAGAGATAATCGAAGCGGCTAGTGATTAAAAAAATCGTCAGCTCCTTTAACTCAATACAGATATACTTATACTTATTTTATATATAGATATACTTTATATATATATATATTATTTTATATATAGATATACTTATTTTCTTCTCTAAACTTAGTAATGTCATTTGCTAAAACGCATGAACTTTTTTCTGTACCAGACATCTCCATGAACATTTTAAATAATGACTGGTCAACAGGAAAAAGTAATCGAAAAAGCATCAAATTACACACAGCTTTACATAAAATAAACCGCGTTGTAAAGAAATGTAAATAAATTGAACTTTTTCTATATTTTTGCTACATTTTAGTGAGTTAAATGGCTCCTGGACTCTACTTAAGTAAACTGGTCCACTCGCAAAAAATAAGGAAAATTATTTGAGGGAATAATTTTAATATAATAACATTCATTAGACTGTTCTCAAGTTACGACAGTTACAGAACCCCCCAAAATATACATTTTTTTATCGATTTAGAAGGGGGTCCTGTTCATAATATTGATCTAGTGTAAAATCGATCCCTGACTTTTCACAGAGCCATTGGTTTGATATTTACAAATGTCAAGTTTAAAATTGTTCTTACATCGTTATATCTTTATATTTTGTTTTCATTTTCTGAATTTTTAAATACTTGTACCATCTTTGGAGGACCCAGTTTCTTTCAATTAAAATCAGCTGATAGACATCAAAACCTTTCCTGGGATAACTTATTCTTTGGCCAATCAACAGAGCCCTATATTTACAGATAACAGATGCGTTTGTGACTCGTGGGTAGACAACTTTTTTCAACATGGTATGCAGGGCTTGTGAGTAAAGACAATTCTCTTTACTCAAAAGTCCGGTGCTAGTTTTCCTTTTAAGGGTTGGAAAGAAGATATGTATCATATTTCTATATTTTTTGGCATGTTCTCTTTCTAGAATATATAAAAAAATTAATATAATTTACGTTCTTCTGACTTCTCTTTAATTATTTGCTTTAGAAGGCCACTTACTACCAAGTATTCCTAACATATATTTGATAACACAATACTTTATCGTAAGTTTTTAGGTTTCAGTTATTTGAAGAATTTTAAAGATAATTTCTTGTTATAAATTGTGTGTGTGTTTTTTTCTCTCGTTGCAGAAACTCGTTCTTTCCGCTTCGAAATATTTCGGTGAACCAATCATTGAAAAGATGTTCGAGTTTGAATGGATGCATTTTATTGAACAGCAGAAACAGGTAAGTGGCTGACGATAGATTCGAGCTCGCAACCAGAACAACCGAGGTGACTTTCTTTTAAGAATAACCTTTTCAAAGAGGAATTACTTACCCACACAAACGTGTCTCTTCCACGCGTCATCTGATTATGTAATTAGTGTGTGCGTACGTGTGTCTGTGTGCGTGTTTCTTATCTCATTGTTTTCCCCCATTAATCTTTATGATTCTTTAATAAAAAAAGTGAACAAACATTAACACGAATTAAACTCTATGAGGGTGGATCAGTAAGCCTGATAAAGTTATTACCTGAATTTGGATTTTACATTTTCGCTGTATAATATTCGTATTCGATCTATGTGATTAATGGAGAAACTTTGGATTAAGTGCATTGACAAACGAAGATATGTTGATAAAATATTTGCCATTAGGCTACAGCTTAATTAACTTACCTACGCATATGTACGTGAATATATTTGTTGAAATGTAAATAAAGCGAAAGAAAAACATCTAATGCTTTCCGGCAAACAGTGATTTCATTTTATATCGGGTACTTATTGAAAATGACCCTGTGTCAAAGTTGGTATAGTCCCACAAGACATAAGACAGCAATAATGTAGCAATATGAGAACCGAATAGATTATGGGTTGGCAACTTTTTGGAGAAAGCGGGCCAGACAGCCATGCAGTATCTTGAAGGAAGGCCATAGTATCAAATTTTCTCGACCTCAGACCAAAAGGCTGCCTTGGTCTGGAGGTTTAAAGAAAAAAACAACAACAAAGTAAATGTTATTTAAACGAGGTTCCATATTTTACTACCGTTTAATATTTTAAACTTTCTTCACGGCAATTTTTTTTTTTCTTTTTTTGACAAATTAAGCAAACAAGTTTTCCGAAGTGCTCATTGAAAAAATATTTAAGTGTCTAGCAATGGTTAAAATTTTGGTACTCAAAATCCATTCTTCTTTTCCTAGTTTCCACGGGCTTGTTTTTGTTCAAACAAAGAAAAGAAAAGAAAAAGAATACTGTAGTGTAAACAGAATAGAGAAATAAGAATCAATGAAAATAGATGTAAATAGAAATAGAATAATATGATAAAATAATATGATAATTTTGAATAAGATGTGATAAAACCACGATATCAGGGTTGCCATTTGGGTTTTTTTTAAAACCAATTTTGTCCTAATTGTAATAATAGTTAACAATATTTATCATAAGAATTAAATAAACATTAATTATTATCGAATACAGACACCTACAGTTGTTTTACTGCCGGGCATCAGACTCAAATGAAAAAGACTGAGGAGGATAGGAAGGAACTTTTCCAAGGATCGAAACGTTAAAGTGAACAACTATATCTGTACTCCATACTAATCAGATAATTAGTGTCCAGGTGTTAAGTTGGCGGGCCGGATAAAAATCTTCTGTGGGTTGGATGTGGCACGGGGGTAGCCGACCCCTGGAATAGATTGTTTAACTAGCATGATTTTGGTTGATTCAGTGAGTGAGCATTTAATATTAAAATATAAAGATCGCCTCAATGATATAAATAAATTCATTACAACGACTAACACAACTGTCTTCATAATTATCAATAATATTAACTCATTAATACTGTATGACAATGCAAATGCAAAAGGATGTACACTTATGTTTTATAGATTACTCCAAAGCATTTGACAAATTACACTACAAGGATCTATTTGAACTGCTAGGAAAACTCTATCTATTTGGCAAGTATGTTAAAATACTCCACAACGTATACCGGGAGCAAACCACCTGCATATGGATAGAAAATAAATTATATAGTTATACAAAAATAGAAAGGGCGTGAGACAAGGATATGTCTTCTTCCCAGATTTATTTAGCTTCTACAGTAACGCTATCCTAAGGGAACTGGAGACATTGACAGGATTTATTATCGGTGGGCGTAATCTTAACAATATGAGATACTCTGTTGATGGTCAACCCAGAAAGGAAACGACAGGACTTCCTAGACGGGTGAAGAAGAAAGCGAGAAAAAAAGGACTAATCATCAACTGCAAGAAGAGAGAAAGTATGGTCATCAGCAAGAGAAAAAAGACCAAGACTTGGCAAGCAGGTGCAAAAGTTCAAATATCTAGGAAGCGTTTCAACAGAGGATGGAAAATGTAACACCGAGATCCAAACATGCATTAGTCTAGCAAAAGAAGCATCCTAAAAGCTAAGCAAGGTGCTGAGAAATTAAAAAAAATTCCTTCTAAGCAAAGAAAAGGGTGCTGGATTGCTATGTGATATCCATCCTCTTATATGGCAGCGAATGTTGGACAATCTCCCGACGGATGAGGAAAAAACTCAAGGCAGCAGAAATGTGTTTCTACAGAAGTATACTGAAAACTTTTAAAAAATGGCAACGGAAAGAACACATACTCAGAATCAGGAAGAGGCAGTTGAAATTCCTTGGACATATAATGAGAAAAGACAGCTTAGAAAAATTGTTATGATCCAGAATGATGATGATATTTTATCATTCTAAAAATAACCTTGCCATCAGAGATGATAGAAGGATATTTCATCGTCCTCATCATTATAAAAACGACTCTTCTACCACAAGAAAGTCAGTTGAGTAGAGTAGAGAACAGTAGAGTAGACTAGGGTTCTCGTAGCAGTAGTCAGTAGATGAGTAGACAAATAGCAGTAGCAGTACAGAAACACACGTCTAACCAGCGCTCCCTGAAAATCGAAAACAGACGATTCAAACGCCATCATCACAAATGAAATTCTCGGAACCAAACCAAGTAAGCACTGACTTTTAAACAAAAGAGACACTTAGAACATTTTTGCATACACCATACCAATATTCTGTAATTCATATCACAAAAAGAAAATACAAATTCTTGTTATTTATGTCAACACGTGTCTCAAGTTTTTATTGTTGTTATCGTTGTACGTTTTATGCATTTTAATTTCATGTCATTAACATCAACCCTGTTACACCCAACTTAATATTAACCCCAACAAAGTTAACCATCACGGGGCATATTGAGGGCAAGAGATATAGGGCAAAGCAGCGAGCCACTGACGATCTTGTGTAAATGGATGGCGCAACGAACTTTCCGACTTGTGCCACATCTAATCTACGCTTAGAAAATCACTATTGGGCACCTAGAGGCGGTGTATTGGTTAGCAAGCTTGTTTCTCTAGAACAATTGCGACTGAATAGTGAGTTCCATCCTCACTGGGTGCCCCCTACTTTCGGACTTAAATCTAATCTACGCTTAGAAAATCACCATATGATCAATAGAGTTAATTAGAAGCGTTTATTTAGCAACGGGAGATTTTTTGACCGAGAAAACAAAAAGAGTGGGTCAGAGGTCTGGTGAGACTATAGGAAAGGAAGTCCGTTCCCAAGAGTCTCGGACTGGTAGTCAATATACAGTGGGTCGTAAGTAAGATTTTTCTATGTTAATATGTACTCAGGCATTAGCCTGAAGATGGTACTACCTTTTCTTATTTTGTACACTATACATCTATTATTCTCAGTTTTATTACCAATGCTTCATAACATTATTTTATCATTATTTTAATGGGGGCAGTATCTACAAGGCCAATCTCCCACATTTACTTATCTTTTGAATTTTCTTCTTCTGTGTGCCGTGTTCCTTCAGGACGTGAACGTTCGTGGCTCTCTACAGCATCATATCCTTGTAGTTTTAAGTAATGTTTATCTTTTTACAACCCCAACGTCCTAGAAATGTCAATTGTCTCTTTCTTATTCTAAGTACGATCGACCTTTTTGTTTCCATTTTCCTCAAAACTTTCTCATTACTCACATGCTCCGTGCATAGTATTTACACTATCCTTCTGTAGAGCTACATTTTGACTATCTGGTGGAGATTTGAGACAACAGTCTCAAGTTTCCTCTTCGACTGTGAAGAAATTGTCCAGCATTCACTGCTATATAGGAGGACTGACATAGTAGTTCTGTTATTTATTTGGAGAATGCCACATGATGCATATATTTAAACTTAATTTTATTAACTATGTACAAGATTCTGTCATTAATCTTCATTAGCTTTAATATTCTTCATTTGTTGGTTTTAGCTTAGTTTGGCTCAAGGCCATAAGTATGGACGCAATTAATGAGAATCGAACTCACAAATGATCTACAAGTCTAGCCTTGTTTTATTTTAGCGCTTGTTTTATTTCTGCCAGTTATGTGCCATGCGTGATACACGCTTAGGCGATCATGCATCTTTCTATACATGACTGACGAGGCAGATTTTTTTCCCGCAGTAGGTTGCCATTACTTTCTGCGGTAGACCAGTTGCCAAGGTTATAGAGCCTGTCCCGCTGGGTATAGAAGTAGAGGATTCACACCTTTCCCAAGGGTATTAGCACGTAAGTGAATGTAGTGGATTCGACTGGAATTCGAACTCGGCTCTCCGATTCCTCAATACAAGCTGCTATCCATTACTCCATCGCTATCCATTACACCTGTTTTTATTTACTAAGCTTAAATCAGAGTTCATTTGTCAGAAGGGTGGGAAGTGTCTAAAAATCATACCATAGTTTGACCGGAGCCTCGTGAGTGAAATTGAGCAGAGAAAAAAAAATGTTCGTTCTGCTAGCACAAAGTGACAAGTCATCGTGACTGAGGTTTTCAGCGTACTGGCTTTGTTAAAACTGGTGATCACTCCAGATTATGCGCTATCTCCCAGAAACTGTAACTAAGGTCCGCTCAGTATAGTTGTAGTATAAGTCACAGGTTGTCTTTGAGGGCATTGAACAAACACAAATGTACCTAATCAGGCTACATGGATTAACTAGCCACCCTAGCAAACAGACACACTCGGGTACGAGCGGCCGTCTGTACTACCCACTAACAATAGTCAACCACTGACCCCCACCTTAAGGCGCTCAAAATGTTCGTCTTCTGTTACTCATTAACACCCACGAGCCACATTGTTATGGTACAGCTACTTTAGTTGTTTCAGGACAAATGGGATCACTAAAGTCTTCTGCGCCCTATAAACAATGGTAAGTAATGTCAGAAGACATCGAAAGTACAAACGCCTCTAACGTAATGTTTCATAAATGTAGTCTTTAGACAAAGATGAATTAATTTACAAAATTTAAAGACAGTTAAATTATGGACTTGAAAATAACAAACCATTGCAGGTTGTATTTGCGGAGATGTTAGATAGAAAAAGTGAAAATACAAACGCAAAATTGAAACAGCGGATTATTTAGAACAGTTTAGTATCAATTTGTAAAGCAAAACAAAAATCCTATGAAACACAATTTAGATACCTGATGTCTATTTGCGAAATTATTCTATTCGCTCAGAGCAATGAGAGATACAATCAAATCTATAAAAAAAAATTGATGCTATTTTCTTGAAACGAATAGCATTATCTTAAATCGATCAGTTTTTCCTGAAGCTGATTTAATCATAGAAGACTAGTCTCGTTATAGTTACAGACTCCTTTGTTCTCACAAGGAGTGCCGCCATTACAAATCCGCTTGGAGCAATTTGTTGGTATCAGTTCACATCAGGGCGTTAGTATGATCACGTAACTTACATCATATAAATACACACACAGACACACACCCCCGCGCGCGCGCGCACACACACACACATATATTTTAAAAGGATAAAAAAGTGACATTATTTTTTATTGTCATAAATGTTATTTTTAATGAGAACACATGGTTGAGTTGTTATCCCTGTTTTTATTTTCTTCAGTAAAATTAATAACCAGCCTAGATGCAAAAGTCAAGACACAATTTTACTTTAGTAGGACTTCGTAATATATATTGGTTGTTATTAATTTCATTGTTTAAGAAAATTTAAAAAAAACAGGGATATCAACTCAATCATGCGTAACCACTAAAATAACATTTAAAGTAATGTTTTATATATATATATATATATATATATATATATATATATATATATATATATAGCAATTACGTTTCAGATACGAAAATAAGGTGAGCCGATATAGATTTCGAAAGGTCACAATAATGAAAAATGTGGATTTCTTAAATAGGGCATTTGACATTTGCTTTGCGTCTATGGTTTCTCATAACTTAGTGGTAAAGCACATCTAGCTTGAAGGTGATTTCCAAGATTAAAGGAATAAAAGTTTGATTCTTATCGATCGGCACGTTTGCTTTTATAAGGCTTAGGCAATCTAGACCAGTAGATGTCAATATCCCTGTTAAAAAACTGTTATTTACTCAATCACTTTACCGACTAAATATAACGTATATATATATATATATATATATGTGTGTGTGTGTCTGTGTCTGTGTGTGTGTCTGTGTGTGTGTGCGCGCGCGTGTACGTATGTATTTATACGTATATATATGTATATATACATGTATCTATATATATGTATCCAGATACACATATGTATATATATATACGTGAATATATATATACATATAGATGTGTATATATATATGTATATTTACATATATATGTATATATATATGTGTATATATATACATATATATGTATGTATATGTGTATATGTATATATACATTTATATATATATATATATATATATATATATATATATATATGTATATGTGTGTGTGTGTGTGTGTGTGTGTGTGTGTGTGTGTGTGTTCGCATTCGTAATATAAAATATATTAATCAACAACAACTATTCTACACCAAGAAAACAACAAATTCAAACTACAGATCCTGGAAGCGCTATACATTAAAAAACTAAAGCTGTCACTTCATAGAATCAACTACGAATATTGTAGTAATGTTCTGAAATGTCTATAAAAAGTACAGTTTTTGTCGCTTTAATGCGCGCATGACCATAACGTTACATCACAGAAGAACAATTCCACAGTGGATATTTTTTCACGTTCTAATGAACGCTAAGCATAACTCTCAACCGTTGCATTTGAAGGCAAAATGAAAAATTACAGTAATGGATATTAAAAAACAGTTTTGTATTACTATTTGCACCCGTGAACAACACAGTTTTGTATTACGACGTACACATCTGGAGATGATCTTGGAAGAATATCGAAAGTTGTTGGGAAATGGAAAATAAAAACGATTTTCAGAGTTATAGCACATTTCTCACACCATTTAATTGCAATGCATATCCGTGAGTATGAACGGATTTTATTAAAAATAAGCAGACATAATGTCTGTAATTTATTTAATCAGACATGCCTAAAAGAGAATTTTCTGCCTAAACACTCATATATATATATATATATATATATATATATATATATGCATGTGGAAATTGGAAAGTATCAGATTCAATAAAAAAACCCTTACTAAATCAAAGAAATGAATGAAATGTAAATTGTAAACATAGTTTACCTATTACCTTACAATTTAGTTAAACTTTGGGATTTGATTATGCTTTTCCTTATATTTTAGTTGTACTGCATTGCACAATAATTGGCTTATATTTCTATTTGTAAGATTAATTTGGATTTGATATAATTAATAAATCTCCTGGTAGTATGAGTAATATCTTGTACATAAGTATTGATATTTGGTTGGTATTTTTGACATTTTACATTGATTGGTTAGTGTTATTAACATCTTATATGAAGAATCTTTAGTCAACAGTTGCATATTAACCTAATAATTCTATACGTTTAAAATATTTACTAGTTTCTTAAAGAAGCTATTTATTTGTCAACTATAAAAAATTATGTAGAAAATTCAGAGTATATAACTTGTTTAAAATTTTGTTAAATTACCTTTCAGCCCATTTTTATTTCTTAGGTAACGACATTGTCTAGTTTGTATAACTTATGTAACCATTTGCATCAGCTTTAGTTTATGTCTGGCTGTTGTTAGCTGCCAATCTGCGGGTCATGGTCATGACCCATTTATAGAAAAATAATTTTTAAAAAATTTTGCTTCTTCGCTTAGTTTAAATTTAACGTAGGTCATATTTGGCTGATCAGAATAAAGCCCACAAACTTTATACCCTCTTTTTTCGTAAAAAAAGGTTATATTTTGCTTTTAAATCTAAATAAATCGTTCACTCGCCAGTAATTTACAATCGCCTGATGAGATGCATTGATACACATAGAAACACGACCGCAACTGTGCAACGATTTTGACATGTTTTCGGTGTAATATCCTAAAATAAAGAATATTACTCTATTTTGTATTAAGCCCTCTTTTAAATTAAATGTTACAAACGTTGGAATTGTATTCTATTCGTTCTTATCTTATCTGGATATATATATATATATATATATATATATATATATAAACCCACTTCTATTTTCGCTAGTAAGTAGAGCTCTTACAACAGGTAAGAGCTCTACTTACTTGCGATAGCTTTTGTAGCCTTGTCCTCCGACACTGTTTTTTTTTACTTAACTATTCCAAACTGTATTCCAAACCACATATTAATTAATAGTCAACAGTAGTAGTGTTGTTTTGAGACGGGATGATTAATTAGATTTTCACAATTACAAATAATTTTAACTATATTTGATAAGTTTTATCGTAATTTTTCTAACATGCATTGTTCAACCATTAAATTAAACTGAATATTTAGAATAAATATAACAGCTTGAGTATTATCCACGAAAGACCAGCTCTGGAGGGAGGATATGGCATATGAGTTCGAGACCACTTGTCTGAAACCATTTCTTTATTTCGCATTCAAATTTAGAGAAACATTAAAGGCTTCTTAGTGCTGAACGACTCATACATTTATCATTTTAATTGTTTTTCATCTTTCAGGAACACAGAGGAGAGATGTGGGTGTTCAAACACAATGAGCTGATTTTCATTAATGACGAATTGATTGGAGGTTACGAGGATCTTTTGAAATGGGCACAGAATAATGTCGCCTTTGAGGATGATTGGAGTTTGCCATTGTACTTCGTCTTAACAGAAGAAGATTACAAGAATGAGTTAAAAGCAAAAAACGTAAGTAAATCTGCATGCGTGAGAAAAAGACAGACAGAAAAAACGGGTGCAGGACGACTCGTCACCGCCGACTCAACGATATGCAAACAATAAAATTCGTTAAATTTTTAAAACTGAATAAAAGTAAGTTATTAAGGATCATTTAAAAAATAACGCTTTAAATCCGAATAAAAGTATTTTTTAATAGATGACTTTATTTTTAATTCAAAAATTTATTGAAAATTGTATGCAATTCCCCTCAAATATTCAGTTGAGAGTCATTATGCAAATTTTCCTTTTCCTTTTTGAAAAAATTACATTTCCGGTGTAATGAAAAGTTCGAAAACTAAACACCAGTCAGCCAAATAGGCTGTTGTAACAAATCACTAAGACAGACAAACTTTTAAAATCTCTACGACTCAAAGACGATCTAAGAGATGCATTTACTATAACAGCCAACACTGGTTGGTCGGTGATGAGTTGGCGGTGATGAAATGCACCCCCCTCCCAAGACAGAACGTAGGTGAGAACACAGTGGAAAAGAGTACAGGCTGCGAGATTTAAGAATATAACCTGTAGAATTGTGTGTCTAAATGGAATTAATAATAGTAGACCTAATCCATTTATAATAATTGTCTAACATGAAGATAAATCTTGTATCCCTCATTAGTACGAAAATGTCCTTTGTAGAAAGAAATTAGAAGAATTGAAATCGGCTGTAGAATCAAAACTATTTAGACAACAGCATTACTAAATTCATGTATAACATTTAAAAAATTGCTAGAAATTAAGAGATTTGTTATCATTTGATCTCCAGTGAAGAGCACAGGCTGTTGTAAGTCATACTTTCTCTAAAGTCTCTCATCTGTCCTTTCTCTCAGTAGCTAGCTCTGCTTGTTTTGTTGAGTAATACCGACCACGGGTCATTCGGCTATCTCTTCCCTCCTTGGTTGAGGCCGGAGTGTCGTCTCGATAGGGTTGATTCAGATTTTCCCCAAATCTCACGACATCGGGGTTGGCGGCGAAGTCTAGTGTGGACCCATCTATGTACGTTGTGTACCACAGACAAGATTGTATCATTCCTGTCTATAACCGTGATAACTTTTGTCTCTTTGCGTCCAGGGACAACTTTAGGAATCAGGGCTGGAATAAGAACTCCTTCAATAAAATTCACAACACTGTAGATAACTAACAACAGATTTATTGACTATAAAGAAAAAAAACTGGTGAATAAAATGTCCTTTATTACCGAAAAATCAAGTTCTCCACTACCGGATGGTGATTTGAGAAATCTAGTAACAATCCAGCTAGTTGACTCTCATTTAATTATTCTGTCATGTGTGCATCTGTGTTTTCGCTCTGACCACGGGAATTGTGGTGTGTTCTTTAATGACATCTGTCCTGTGATGCAATTCCTCCTAGGACCATCTCTGTGTGTGTGTGTGTGTGTGTGTGTGTGCGCGCGCACGCGCGTGTGCGTTTGTTTTGGAGGGTTTTAGGATGTCTGTTAATAACCACATGGCCTTCGCGTTTGTCTTTAGAGTTCTCTGTCCTTTATTTCCGTAAAGATAATGGTGCTTTGGAGCGGACACAAATTAATCACAAGCTTACGAATTAAACAAAATCCAAATGCTTTATCCAGAAGAATTTGAGTTATTCTTTTCTTTTTGGAGAGATAATATAATGTAAACAAACCCTGAATTTAATTTCTCAGGGCCAATATAATTCGGACACTGCATCTTCTTATCGGTGGGAAGTGAATAAGGTGGAGAACCTTGGTTTTGCTAAAAATTTTATCGAATCTTAGCTAGTTAATTCTCGGTTCAATTATCCTTGAAACTGTTCTTAAATTTATTTTTTAAAACAATTCTTAACCAGTTTCTTTTTTCATTTTTTCAACCACTCAAACAATTCTCCTGAGAATTTTAATAATTATTATTCAATTAGTAGTCCCTCCAAACCACTATCCTGAAATTTCATCCAATTAAATGTTTAAATAAGGTTAGTGCGCTGTTATACTACTATGGATGGGAAAACTTAGTCAGCACAAATAATATAATTAGCTCTTGTGGAATGTTTGTGCAGAGTGGTCTCTCATCTGCGTTGGTGCCAACGTAGGAAGTATGGACGTGAAGTTGAGAAGTAGCGCCGGTACAAGACAGAGAAGGTGATCAAAAGCAACTAAGTCAAGATTAAGATTTCAACATCCAACAACAAGGCGCGTCATTGAGGCTACTAAACTATACTTCACTGTCGTTGACAAAGAAACAAGAAAATCTCTTCATCGACGTGGCTGTACCTGATGGCCATAATAACAACGTCAAAGAAAAGCTTAGGAAATACACTCACCTCCGGATTGAAGTTACCAGAATATGAGAAGTTCAGGTCCCAGTTATCGTTAGGGTGTTCGGGTCTATATCACTGAACTGAAAGTGTTATATTGAGAAAAATCAGAATATAGCCTAATATCCCATCGCTTCAAAAGTGTTATATAGGAATAAAGTGTTGCTGCCGACATTTGAGTTTGAACATAGATTGCCTGTGGGTAAACACAGACGATCCCATTATTGAATTAAGTAGACCACGTGATTAGATAAGAAACGCATGTTGGAAGTCGTGTGACGTCTAGATTGATCACCATTTCTAGTCTATCGCTTATTACTATTCGGATCGCTATTTCTATACTATCCTCTATTACTATAAGGGTCGCTATTCTCTATACTATTTCACTATGCGGACTAATATTCGAGCGAGTATTATCGAGCAAGTACTATTAGTGTGAGTGTTTTTCAAAGGCGTCTGACACCAGCATTGTTCAACGGCGTTACTATAGTTATATCTGCGATTACAAAGTCTTTACTACAACCAGCATTACGAAAGGGACAACAAGTATTCGTTGGTATCACAAAAGTGTCAAACGAGTGTTCGCTGACATAAGAAGAAGTCTGCATTGCTTGGCACTACAGATATTCTGCCAAAAAAGTGCTCTCTGTCTGAGGTCATACGACTTTATGGAAAACCCCCAATGCAAGATATCGGGTCGAAAACGAAAGTCACGCAAAAGATGTACGAAAGCTACGCCGAAAAGCAGTAATCGGTAAAGAAACTTTGAAGTCAGATAAAAGCTGAGCATGCGCAAATGGAGACGGAGTCATATTACTAATCTCTTGTGTACATCATAAGTTTGTTTATTTGACCATAAGTTTGTTTATAAGTTTGACCATAAGTTTATACACATCCTGCAAATTTTAATTTAGATTTGGAACAGCGAAGAAATGGTTATTTTCTTCTTCAGCTATTGCAAATAAATCACGTTACCAGTTTTTATTAATAGAAATAAATTTTACGTGGTTTGGAAGTTTCTGTTAGTCTATTAATGCACCAGTCTCCATCCGTCCGTGCTCAGCCATATTTGACTAATGTTTCTTCAGGCATTTTGGCGTACCCCAAAGATTTACCTTGTGTCCATCCTTTCAGAAAATTAATAACGTCTTGTTAATAGATTTCTAAGAAACAAATAAAGCATTTTGAAAGCTATAATTTATAATTGTTTTAACTTTCAAACGTAAAAAATATCCGTTTGAATAGAAATTATTTGGATTCTTAAACACAAAAAAAATGTACTTTAAATTCGTGAACATAAATTCATTCCTGTCAAAACAGACGGGAATAAATATGTAGACTACATATCTGTATATATATATATATATATATATATATATATATATATATATGTTCGAGAATTAAGATAAGAGCGTGTGTGCGTATATATATATATATATATATATATCCGAATGTAATGAGAACGAAAATAATATATAAATTCTAACGTTCACAGCTTTAATTCAATAGAGGGCTTAATAGCGATAGTAGAGCAATAATTATTTATTATAATTTTTTCATATAGACAAAAACAATTTACTCACTACAAAGATGCAACTGCTTACAAACAGAATTGTTCATAAACATTTTGTGTCTCACCAGTCGAGGTGCAACTAAATGTACCGGAACGAAGTTGCATCTTTGTAGTGAGTAAATTGTATTTGTCTATATGAAAAAATTATAATATATATATATATATATATATATATATATATAGTTTATGAAAAACTAGGTAATCCGTATGGGTAAACCTAAGGAGGATAAAATATATATATATATATATATATATATATAATAAAAACTTAAACACTAATATTCCAATACATGGAATATTAGTGTTTAAGCCTTTTATTATATTCTTACTCTGTCTTGGACATTGAGTTCTAACTGGATTCTATCCCCTTGAAATTTATATATATATATATATATATATATATATATATATATATATATATATATATAACAACTAATATTATCTATCTAACTATCTATATATATATATATGTGTATATGCATTTTAGACTTGTTCTATAAATATTTTTCCATCTTCATGAATTTTTCAGCGCGACTTGATGTACATGTACATTTCCATCGACGACAAACCAGAAGGACATTTTCTTATTGAGGTAAATTTCAAATCTACAAAGCCAAACGATATATATGTAGGGTAGTATGTGTGTGTGTGTGGTGAAAAGACTAATGTATTGGTCTGCCATGTGGCTTGCGTTTAGAATCATCATTTGACGTCATGGTATTTGTCCTAGTTTGGAACGTCGGCCACGTGCACCGTTGAGAAACACATAACTCAGTTAACGGAGTTTTTCTTGGCTAATAGAATACAAATGCATCATTTAGAAATTGCATATTTTATATTTCTTTATTATAAATACTTTATATATAAATCAATTGTAACGTTCCGCTTAACAGAAAGTATTTAAAATAATATTAGCTGAAAAGTGGTTGTAGACTGTGACGATAGCCATTCGCACATACCTGATGCCGAACCGCCATTTACAAGAGGTCCAAGGCGCATGCGTGATGTTGAGCCTTTTTATGAACATCGGTCATTTACATACGAGGACGACCACCCGCTTTAAATGGCGGTATACAACGATGGTGAAGGGCAGAGAAGAAAATGGAAGTGGAAGCGAGAAGACGTGGCAGTTGGGAGATTCATTAACTCGTTTTATTGGAAGTATTTTTTCAGTTCCTATTTTGACATGTTTTTTTTTTCTTGTTAATTTATTCCTGAATGTGCTTGTAAAACTTCTGAAGGAATGGATTTGAAATACTGGAGGAAAGATGCCCCTTTTCTTGATCGTTTTGCACATAAAATAAATAATGGTTTAAGTTTTGACTATAAAATTTCTATTGTATAGTTTCCTTTACGACAGATCAACAAGATTCGATAAAGGCGAATCCAGGAAGGTTATAGATATCGAATTGGGTTCAACTGTTATGTTGACAGATAAAGATGTCGGAATGTTGTCTTTAAATTTTCTGCCACATAGTATTTTTTAACAAGGAAATATCTCCAGCATCAGCTTAAATAAGCGAAAGCAAGTCAAAAAAGAAAAGATTCCATTCGAGCCCTGCCAATTTACATGCGGTCAAAGACGCCATAAGACTAAATCGATTCCAGATTTGACTGAAGAAAGCGAGAACTCTCAACCATAATAAAAGTCCTAGTTATATTTCGACAGTCCTACCACCAAAAAGATCATCAACCTAGGAAAACGAAGTATATTATTACAACTGGTGTTGTCAAACAAGTTATTACTGTGACTGACCATTTCGTAACCTATATATTACAAGGCAAATCAACAATAATCTTTATTTCATAAAAAGAAATGGGTAGCCTCTTTAGAGAATCTGTTGGCAAATAATTTATTTCGTGAAAACAGGGATCTTAGATCTTCAAGGAAATATTTACGCCAAAAGGAAATAATATGGAGGAGAGAAATTGTCATAATTAGTATAAGTATTCAAGTGGTAATCTGAAAATACCTGATTGAAAACTGATAAAAAATCACTGGCAAAAGACAAAACACAAATTAGGTTAGTTATTAGGTGTTCTGCAATCGCAGAACCAAGTGCATTGACAAGCAATTGCTTCAAACCCTGTATATTAAATTCAAGTAACCTTTCCTCTATAAGCAGAAGGAATGGCTGCTGGGTCTTAATGTAATTTGTTTGTAATCCATAGCACTAATTTAGGTTTATATATATATATATATATATATATATATATATATATATATATATATATATAGGTGCATCAAAAATACTTTTACAAACTTTGGGTACGAGTTCCTCACAAACAAGGACAAAAGTTCATATAAACATATGTCCACAAATCCTTCGTTTTTGAGTTATTAAGTTTAAAGAAAGTTTAGAGTAGATGGCATTGTGTTGCTATGAAGACTAGGTTACATTTTCATTCGTGTACATTTGTGACTAGTCTGTCTTCAACGTTTAACTTGTGTAGTAGAGAGACCCGCATCAGTTTACGATTAATGTGTGGGCTGGAATTGTAAGTGACTGTCTGGTTGGTCCATATTTTCTCACAGCACGTCTTATAGGTGTTATCTGCAGGGACTTTATTTCGAACACACTTCCAGACTTGCTAGGGGATGTACCCCTGCTAATACGAAGACGCATGTGATTAATGCAAGATGGGGATCCAGCACATTTTATTCACATTGTTCACGATGCACTGGCCATGAAAGATGGGTAGATAAGGGAGAACCGGTTTCATGGACAGCACGTTTCTCCACCTCAATCCTTCTGATTTTTATCTGTCGGTCCACCTAAAAAAATTGGTTTATGCAGTAGATATTAATAATGCAGAGATGCTTCATCAACGTGTCATGGCGGCCTAAGAAACCATTCGACACAGAGTGGGAGTATTTAAAGTGGTCTGCAAGTCAATGATCCGACGGGAGCAAGCGGAGGACATTTTGAAGATTTGTTAAGAGTTGCTATGTTATACTTACAACGCTGGCCTTTTGGATATGTTTATATGGATATTTTACCTTGTTTTGGTATCATGAACCCCTCCCCGAAGTTTGTAAAAGCATTTTTGGATTGTATCTTGGATTGTACATTTAACAACGTCTACCGTAAACTTTAAACTTAATAACTCAAAAACGAAGGATTTGCGGACATATGTTTATGTGGACTTTTGTCCTTGTTTTGGTGTAGGGAACCTACCCACCAAAGCTTGTAAAAGTATTTCTGATGTACTATATATATATATATATATATATATATATATATATATATATATATATATATATATATAAAGTTTAACTACGTTACTATATAATCAAGAAAAACAGCTGAATTAAAGAAAATACTAAAAGTTCGTTCACTGTATCGTGCGAAACAGTTTTTCTCCCTAGAATCTATCATACATATCTATGTCTACCGTTCGTCTATGCTTAGAATATTGCTGCCACATATGTTTCCATGTCCCTGCTATTTAATTTGGGCTCCTTTCCAAAGACGTATCAGCAATACTATTGGTCATGATCTGGCGTCTCGGCTTCAGTCACTTTCCCACCGACGTAAGGCTGCCTCCCTGTGTCTTTTCTGTAAATACTATGGTACCTAGACTTTTTGAATTTAAGCGCAATACTAGACTGGCGTCGAGACCTCATCAATTGACAGTTGAGCTAGCTAGATGTAGCCGTAAATTCTATGCTAACAATTTCCTTTCTCACACTTCCGGCTCCATGCTTTCCAGCTATCTTTAATCTGCAAAACATTTAAATGCAGTGTCAATCATTATCCACTGCCTTCCTGATTACTCTTTTCTCTTCCCGCTCATTATTAATGTTTCTGTTCCTATTTCTTCCACACGCTGTAACCCCTTGTCTCTTAGTGACTTTACTGCCTTGAAAGGGTGAAGCCGATTAAAAAAGTATGTATTCATTGCTTTAATTCTAATTCTAAATCATTGTTTCTGTTTTGGAATTCTAAATCATTGTTTCTGTTTCTCTTTCTTGAACACTTGGTAGAAGATGTTGATTTTTTTTTGTCTAATGTATGAATGAATTGATTTTATTTTTACTAAATTATTACGCAGAGTGAGGAAAACTGGTAAGTGAATGAAGTGATATCAAATTCGTTTATCTAAAATACTCACTTTGCAATCTTGATGGAATTCAAAAGCGTCTCCGAGTCCTTGTTGGAGAATAATTGTTTTCCACTCCCCAAGCTCTGTCTCACAGGTGGGAAGTGGCGAGTCTCTCACTGCTCTATCGCTACTTCCGTGAAAAGTGCTCGGACAAACTACATTCCTTGGTTGTGCCAGGTGTAACCTTCACTGCTAGGACCCGCCATGCCACTCACATAGTAGCAAACCCCACTCACATTCTCTCTGTATTCCATCGGCGAGAAGTAAGTTATGTTATGTATGTAACTAGTCTTTAAATGTTTCTTTTATTGTAATTGTAATTCCTTTTTGTCAATACATGCAATTAGTTGTCGCATGTTTTATATTGTTTTGTGTCACTCATTTTTTACTTTGACTCACATTGAGGCCGCCAATATTGTTTGTGGGATAAATTTTCCAGGATCCTGTAAATATTTACTATCTAAAGCAGTGGATCTCAACCTTTTTTTACCCATGGACCCCTTTCCCCTTCTTTTTATATTGGTGAACCCCTTCATAGCTATTGGACATAAGAACAATTTTCTATTCTTCACTAATATAAATTTTAAGGTTTTAATTATCAAAGAAATAGTATACGATTAAGCTTTATTTTTAAATGAAAACTAATTTAATACAAATAAAATATTCTACTATAATTATAATAATAATTATTATTACTATTTTTAATTAACACAACAATTGAGTTTTGCCTGTGGACCCCCGGAAATATTACATGGACCCCTAGGGTCCATGTAGACCCCGGTTGAGAACCACTGATCTAAAGTGTTGATTCCCACAAACCCAATCATACTAGCGATCCCGCAACAAAAGTATCATTATCCGGAGAGATACCATAAATGTAAATTCGTCTGTATGACATTCCAACAGTCACATGGGTCATCACAGGGCTATAGAACTTACAATTCTCGAGAAGAGTTGATATCCCGTTCATTCTTCCATGACGAATTGAGCCAAAAAAAAAAAAAAAAATTATGGTTTTATTTAATCATTTGAAGTATTTCAGAAATTATGAAAATATAAGAGTGTCACGGCTTTAAAATTTTATTCTTTTCAAGCTATTCAGTGATATTGTCCCAAAAACTTGTGAAAATTTTAAAGCGATAAGCATGGGTCATGTCACCGCAACAGAACGACTACTAACCTATGAAAAAACAATATTTCACAGACTTGTACCGAACGGATGGATACAAGGCGGAGGTAAGCAAATTTTCTCTTGATTTTTATAATGAAATATTGGCATTGTTTAATCGCCGTGCCCGCACATGAAAATGATATCAAAAGGACGATTATTCCCTTGACACTGCTATTACTGTATATACTTTTGACTCTCTCAGCAATGTTTATTTATAAGAATATAAAATATGTGAACCAAGTGTAATATTTATTATTTGTCTTTTATAAAGATTTAGCATTTACCATTTTGAAAAGAAATACATTTGAAGAGAAATCTTTTTATTCAAAAATTTAAAAAAAGTTTAAAAAAATAAGAAAACATGTAAACCAATTACAATGCAATATTTATTATTTACTATTTTATAAATAACAATAGAAACAAGTTTTTGTTATTCAGTCCAATAAATAGTGTTTGCAGGGACCTTCCAAAAGCGATGTCTAAAATGCATTTTAAAAAAATAAAAAATAAACAGATGTAATCTTACATATTATAAAATGCAGTTTGTGTGTGTGTGTGTGTGTCTGTATGTTTATATATTGGATCGGATTTCCTACATTTTTTAACCGATTTCAACAAAATTTCACAATACTGAGTAAAATTACCTTGCAGTGGTTCTGACAGCGCCCCAAATTGGAAAAAACAACTGTTTTTGCATGAAATCAATTTGAAAACGATAAAACATGATTCTGTCGCCAGAATGAAAGGGGGACAACTCATATCGATACTTATTATAAAACACAGGTTGTTTGTGTGTCTGTGTGTGTTCATTTATATATGTGATTGGATTTCCTACATTTTTCAACCGATTTCAACAAAACTTAACTTTTTTTTTGGCAGGTAGTGTTTCTTATTGTCTTGCACACTTTTTTCTTTATTTTTACATTTAGAATGCTTTAAAAATTCCATTTACAAGACAATTGTTTATAATAAAAATTCTATTCAATCGGGAGACTCATAACGATTGAAAACAATGTTTTTGTTTGAGTTTGGGTTTGACCAATTCATAAAAAAAAACAAAAAAAAAAACAAAAAAAACAACAAAAAAAAAAAAAAACTAATTAAGACATGCGTGTCCGTCAACCTTAAACAATAATCTTTGTCAATTTTATTTTCAGTCTTTATGATGGTGGATACTTGATCTATCTCTTACTGTTACATCCCCGGGCAATGCCGGGCAATGCCGCCGAATGCTCTCCTGCTAGTTGTATATATATATATATATATATATATATATATATATATATATATATATATATATATATATGAAGAAATATAGTCTTAAGATGTGCTATACTTATGGGATAAAGTGCTCAATATCAGAGATAGACCGTGTGTAAATATAAAAGTGAACAAAGAAGTCAACACTTAGAGGCGACAGTCTGTTTCATGCTAGATGCAATCGTCAGGATATATCTATCGATCTATCTATCTATCTATCTATCTATATATCTATATAAATATATATATATATATATATATATATATATATATATATATATATATATATATCTATCTTTTTATTTTATTTTAAAAGCAAAAAGAAAAAAATCAGTAATGAATAGCAACACAGTAGCTTTTGTCTTACTACTTGCACGTCTAAAGATGATCCCAGAAGGAGATAGAAAAGCGAATTTTACAGTTATAACGCATTTCTTGCAACATTTGATTGTAATATACGCAAGGTTATCCGTGAGTATGAACACATAATGCTAAAAATAAGCAGATAAAATGTCTAATTAACCTAATCAGACAACCCTAAAAGAGAATTTGCTATGTGTGTGTGTGTGTATATATATATATATATTATTTAGTTATTGGTCTCAGTTGTATCAGACCAGGAAATAATTGTAGTAAAAAGTGCTTAATACACGTATAAAAAATGAAAATTTAACATGCAGAGCTTTTACATTTAAAAAAAATCAGATGATCAGCCAATCACGCTACTTTGATTTTAAACTATCGGTATCCTTCATTTGTGAATAAGTTCAGAAAATTTCCTTAAAATCCGACAATTATTTGATTTTTGAAAGAACTTCCCATTCACTGCTAAATTAAAATTTCCCATACTAATTTATAATCACCCGCTGACGCAAGAAACCACAGAAACACGATATTTAAGGTTTAAAATTAATTTAAAAAATGAAAAATCTTTATTGAAGCTTTTATTTTTATTTCAATTTCAAGCTAACAGATTAAATTTAATATTCTCAAAGCAAAATACATTGCTGGTTTTGAAAACTAATTTAAATTGAGTGGAAGGTGTTTTTGTTTTGAAATTGTTAAAATCGCTGATTTTAGCGCCATTTTTAGCCAATCATCCCAGTATAATTCTCTTTATTAAAAATCTTTCAAAAATAAAATATACTACTCTGAAACATTATTTGAGGAATATGACCTGATTTATAGTTTAATTAATCTGATTAGAAATAAGTATATAAAGTATATTTAAAATATCCTAGAAATGCATTTTTAACACAACAGTAACTATTTATTTAAAGTATTGACAGGTTAACTGACAGACGGAAGTTTATCTAAATTTTTTTCTAGGGCGGATATATCTATAAATTTTACTTGAGGAATATAACGTAAGCGCCTTTTTATATAATTTTTAACTCCTCAGTAATGTTAAAAAATATCTGCGTAATCTAATGTTTTATTGAATTTTAAGTATTTTGGCTTTAAATTTAGTATAGTTATCGTGCTTGTTTTCTGATAATGTCGGTCGTGTATGGACCTCCGTATTTACAAAAATCGGCACGTTTATACACATGAACACAAAAATTCAAACTATTTTAATACTGGGGATCGATGAATTGCAATAAGCTTTTTCCATTTATGATTATGATTATGATTATGATTAGTAAATATAGTTTTTATTTAGTAACAACATCACTTAACCTTTGTAAAGTAAGACAGAATTTTAAGATTTAAAACTTTTTTGATTATTATAATTAAACTTTTTTTAAAATGAAAATAATTCCTGCAAAAAATACATTATTCATCGAAAATTTTATTTTCTTAAGACAATAGTGTCGTCAATGTATCTTATACATAAAAGCAGTTAAAATCTTTTCTAATTAAATAATGTCTTAGTTTTATTGCATTTTTTTTTATTTTACGAGTCAGAGCAAATTTTGGGTAAATGAGGGTCCTGTTTTACAAAAAGAAATTGCTGATTTAAAATCTCCAAGTTCTGCTTTTAATATTATCATTAACCTCTACAAAATTTAATTTCTCGAAATTTTATAAAATTAAATAAATGGCGAGTAACATATGAATTTATTTTTCAAAGATTTTATTTAAATCTCAAAAAAAAAAAACCCCAAAAAACAAGCAAAAATAATTTTACTCTTTTGTGAATAATTCCTGAAAGTTTCTTCAAAATCTGACAATTATTCTGTTTTTGCAAGAATTTCCAACTCAACGTGTTTTCTACCAGAAAAATGACGCTAAAATTTCCTATACTAATCTTTGTAAACGAGTATGGTAAAAAATTATGAAAACAGGATATCGTCTAAATGTTTACAAATAAATCTGTGTATTCTATATAAAAGCAGGAGACAAGATTGTTCATTTCACTTCCGGTTATACGTGAGTACTGGCATATATTGATTATGGTTCTATTTTGGATTTATACGCATTCGGGCATCTAATGTCACAGATCTCTTTTTAGCTATCTTAATTTGTCAGGACCAGTACTTATTATTGTACTCTACTTTAACAGTGCTTTAAAAAAAGTAATTCTTATACATCTTTTTTCCTTCAAAATGGTTGGGTGCTACATATTTGTAGCCTAAGGTCTGTTTAACTTGGTTATTTTTTTCCGAGGCATCATTTCTTTCAACTGTCTTCTAATTATCCTGAATGGTCACTCCTCTTTTAGATCCTTTCCTACTAATGCAGGTGTCAAACAGGGACTTTATTTTTGTATTTGTTTTCTTCTTAATTTTCATTAACAACCTTCTTGAAGGCATCAGCTGTCAACTTGCTATCTATGCTGATGATCATTTACTCCTGCCTCTATAGTAAATCTGATCAGTTCGATAATATCAAATTGGTGGCTGATCTAAAAAAAAAGAAAAAAAAGATGTATAGTCTGTTAACTGGGGCAAATAATAGCTTGTTTTTTTAAAGCCTCAAAAACAAAACTTCTCTCTATTAATCATCTGAGGGACCTCTTTCTGCCTTCAATCAGCATGGCTAATGCTAACCTCCAGGAGAGTGATTCATTCCGCCTCCTCGGCTGACAGTGGAAAGACTATTTTGGATCCATTGGTAGGTCTGTTGCTAAGAAAGTTGGTTCACAGTATCGTGCTAGACAATTTTCTCCAGAATTTATCTTACATACAGTTCTTCCATGCTTCGATTATTGCTGCCACATATGGTCCGGTGCTCCTGCTATATAGCAATATTATTGGTCCTGACCTGGCATCTCGGCTTCAATCACTTTCCCACCGCCATAAAGTTGCTTCTCTCTGCCTTTTTTATAAATACTTTTATGGTAAAAGTTCGAATAAGCTCTTTGCTATGATACCTAAACTTTAGGAATTTATAATGTAAGCGCAGTACTAAATTGGCAACAAGGTCTCATCAACTCGCAGTTGAATTGGCTAGATGTAACCGTAAAATCGCATTAATAACACTTGATGTGCAATACCGTTAACGTTAGTAAATCCTGCAAGATAATCAACATCTCAATTCGATTATAACAAGTAAAATGTAAATCATTTTTTAATGAAGAAATTTATAACATAAATATAGAATTTCTTCCAAACAGTAAATCGACTTCTTAGTCATTTCATTAGTTTTGAAATCACATATTCGCCTTTTCAGTAAAAATTCTTATGACAGTTATTTAATCGAAAATAATGAATTTCCTCTAGTCACGTTTCTATTTATGAGTTGGGGAGAAGGTGAGAGAAAACGATGTCAAGAGTTTGTATCGTTGTGGTCAAATTATATTTGCAAGCACCATTCTCCCAAAAAGAATTGAGGTCGTACACCTTAACTCGTGATAAATCTC